ACTACTACTACTACTACTACTACTACTACTACTATTACTATGACTACTACTACTACTACTAGAAATAATAGTAGTATTACTAAATTACTACTACTGATACTACTAAATAATAGTAGTATCAGTAGTAGAAAGAGTAGTAGTAGTTGTAGTAATAGTAGTAATGGAAGTAGTAGTAGTAGTAATAATAGTAATAGTAATAATTGTAGTAGTAATAGAAGTAGTAGTAATAGTAGTAGTAGTAATAGTAGTAGTAATAGTAGTAGTTGTAGTAATAGTAGTTCTAGTAGTAGTAGTAGAAGTAGTAGTAGTAGTAGTAGTAGTAGTAGTAGTAGTCGTTGTAGGAGTAGTAGTAGTAGTAGTAGTAGTAATAGTAGTAGTAATAGTAGTAGTAGAAGTTGTTGTATTGGTAGTAGTAGCAATAGTAGTAGTAGTAGTAGTAGTAGTAGTAGTAGTATTAGTAGTAGTAGTAGTAGTAGTAGTAGTAGTAGTAGCAGTAGCAGCAGCAGCAGCAGCAGCAGTAGTAGTAGTAGCAGTAGGTGTACATCTTATACCTTTTTAAATTTGCCTTTAGTGGTTTCAGCTCCTCGGCTGTCTTTACCCAGGTATCCACTATGTCTCCAAGTTGCTTCTTCCAATAGGTAACAACAGCCTCTACGTGTTTCCTGGCGTATCTTTGGATGTAGTTTTTCTTAGCAAGTCCGCAGGGATTGCCGCTACTGTAGTAAAGTCCAATGCAGAAGTTCTTGATACTTTCACCCTCCTTTTCGATCTCCGCTTCATCGAATTTGCTTGGTCCAATGGCTATCGAGCAAACACACATGCTTACACCCGTGTTCGTAGCACAGTTTCCATTATTCTCTGGCATGATGTGGGGCTTATAATGAAGAAAAACGATTTTTTCTACAGACTCTTCGTAATGCTTCTTAAATGCTTCCACTTTGTTGATTAAGGTGTCTGCAAAAGCTGCCGCTTGACTCTCCTTGCCTCTCGTCCTTGCTGCCACGATCTGTTCCAGAAGTGTGTCCACAAACAGTTGTCCATACATGCGAAACAATGGCAGTGAAAACTCGTAGGAACTGACTTTGCTGTCTGACGGCAGGAAGAAGTGGTACTGTGTGATAAGCATACCGTGCAAGTTCTCCAAACAAGGTGCCATGTCCTCTGCCTCATTCTTATATGTTTTCTGGCAGTGCATCGAATAGCTGAGAATGCCTCCATTACTTGTTCCAAATATTTTCTTGATGTAGTCTAATTTCGCTTCTGAAATTTCCTGGTCCATGTACTCCTTTAGCTGGTTTATTTCCTCGGTCAAACTGTTGTATACGTCCTCGGGATCCAGACCTCCTCCTCCAAATAGTTCTGCGATTCCCTCGAACGTGGCGCCCAGTATAGCCCCCGCCACTGGTATTTGTCCAAGGACATTTGCACCCAGGACTATGGCGAATTGACGGCCTGCGTTGGCGGCGTCGGAGGTCTTCTCTACCAGCCCAGTTGGTTTCATCTTTATCACGTCTTCTATCGGGCCAGAGTATTGCAGATTAAAGCAATGGAAGACATTCTGAGCCAGAATGACTGGGGTCACTCCACACATAGTAAAAAAGAAGATCCACAAAATGTCTTGACGGTACATCTTTGGTTCTGTAATTAAGTGTTTAAGAGTAAGTGTCCTTGAAAGTGATTATTACTTATAATACTAATATTACTACAATACTTTGGTTACTGTTACAGAAAAAATGGCCTGTTTGTTTGTTCATAAAGTTGTACCAAAGAACAGTGAAAAGTAAACATCCTTGACATCAAACAGTTGTTCATAAATATTTTTTTGCGCATTGCAAACGCATTTGAAGGAGAATAAACAAGCTCACAGTTTCTCTCGAGTATCGCTCTCGGAAAACTATCCACATCTCGAAACAGATAATATAATGCCCGCAGACAAATAACCAAGAATAATTTCGCGCCAAACACGATAAATTTTTATCAACTTACCATTTGAGAGTAAAAACATGAGATCAAACTTTGAGTAAAAAGAACGATCGACAGATTGGGCCCAAACTGAAAATTGCACTCTTTCCCTTTAATTAACCTTTGGTGTTTTGCTCTCTGTTCGAATAAATATTTGGTGGCCTCTTTCAACTTAAAGACTATTTTTATAGGGCGCAACAGCAACAAATAACAAAGAAAAAATGTCGTTTTAATAAAAATAAAATCTATTGAATAAAGCAAACACCTCACTTTACATAACTTTTTTATAATCTCGTTCCAAAGAAGGCACCATTGGTTCCTTGCATTTGGCTAAGCTTAGTATCACTATCGAGCTAAACTCTTTAAAGGATTTTTCACAAATACATATTTTACCCTATTTTTCTAGTTTGAGACGTACACGTTTGAAGGCTATTGGTTTTACTTAAAGCCTTTATACTGAACAGGGTTGATTGTGCATGTTCACTTGACGGTCAGTAAAGAAGTCACGTGCGGTTCGAATACTTCAAAGCTCAAAAGTGCTAAAGCGAGTTAAAACATTCAAAAATTATTAAAGATATATAACGGTAATTGAACTGAGTGGAGTGCAATTCGGTCTAAAATCATATGCGTGATTTGAAATCACAAGGATGATTTCAGACAAAACTTGCACGACACTAAGTTCAATTACCAGTCATGACACCTACTTTGAAATCGTACAATGCAGTAGCAAGAATACAGGTTTTTTAGTTTGTACAAATATTTATTGATCTAGAATTGACCAGTTTTGAGCTGGTTTTTAAAAAGATGCAAAATTTGTCTTTCATTTTCCTGTAATTTGATTGGTTTCTTTAAACAACTCTTGAAATGTGATTGGTGGTTGTGTTTAGCAGAGCTGTTTCATTGGCTGGGATTGTGATTTAGAGCGCATAAAATGGTGCGATTCATGAATAAATCGCACCGATGAGAGCTAATCAGATTGCATGGACCACCAGTGATTTCAAAATGAAGATAACAAAGTAAGACTGAATATAAACTGTGTGACAACCTCTTAAATGCTTAGAGCTGATGTTTATAATCACCCTGGTTGTTTGGCCAACAAGAACTGAGGAACACGTGCTGAACAATGAAACTTTCTCGCTTACCTCGTGTTCCGAAAGAACAACGCGCCTTTCCAGCATAGGCAGCGATTGGTATCTAAAGCTTGTCCACGTTAATTTCGTTCTCTACACTAAATTAACAATTAGCGCTATGTCCATTGGTTCACCAATAAATGAAAATTAAACTCTTAATCCTTTAAACAAAGCTGAAGTTCTCGCGACCAAACCGATATTTGAAATGCTTTCAACGGACACGAGTCGGACA